TAGGTTCAACAGCCTGTAGGGTATCAAGCCATTAATTAGACATTGTAGCAAAGGTATGGCCTGTGTGCCTTAGAGCTGTGGCCATTGTAGCTCTTCTGGTATCAGAGGAATCAAAGCTGACTTTATTATTTTTTAATTAATCGTTTTTTCAAGATAAGGACTATGTAGTTCAGGCTATCCTTGAGCTCACTGTGCAGCCCAGGGTGGCCCTGAACCCATGGCAGTCATTTTGTCTCCACCTCTCAAGTTCTAAGATTACAGTCGTGCACTGCTGTTTCTGCCACACTGACTTTAGGTAAAGGCCTCCCTGTACGTATAGACTCTTCACAATGTGGCAGGACTTCTTCCAGAGGGAGTCTCTGGCTGTCAGACAAATGACTTCCTAAATACGAGTCTCTACTTTTAGAAGAAGCAGCTATTAAATAAAGACATGTTGCTCCTTAAAACTTACCACCTTTCTACCTGAGAAAGAATTGAGGCTGACTGCAAAAGACATGATAGTGAGCAAATAATTTTACACCTGTACACAGCCAGAGAAGATTTGTTAGATACACTCCTTTCTGACCCTGATTTGACCCTTTTCCAAGTTCTTTCATGGAAAGTTGGACAAGCAAGGCAGGATATGCAGTAATGACTCCACATGAGACCCCTGAAAGTTCCTCATTTGCCTCTGGGACTAGTGCTCAACTATCAGAACCCATAGCTCTGATCAGGACTTTATAACTCAGTAAAGGACAAAAAGCCAGTATTTAGACTGATTCAAAGTATGCTTTCCTAGAATTGCATGCCTATGAAGCCATATGGGAAGAAAGAAATTATCTGACAGCCAATGGATTTTCCATAAAGTATCATAAGGAGATAGATGAACTTTTATCATCTGTGTATATGCCCTCCAAAGTGGCAGTACTTCACTATAAGAGGGCAACAAAAAGGAGCTGAAGTATCTTAAGGTAGCCAACTGGCTGATATAGCTGCAAAAGAAACCCTCAAGAGAGCTAGTTAGACCCCCCTGATGTGGGAAGGGTCCTTGATCACACTTGACCCAAGTATTGTTAGAAATTCAATGGCCCCTCTTCCTTGGGTGTCAATTCCATCAGTATGGTTATAATCAGATGATGGTAAATTGTTCCTTGGAAAATTATGAAGTATTTACATCAAATCTTTTACTTTGAGAGACAAGACCCACATGATGGCCTCAAAGTTATTCATAGGAGAGGGATTTTCTCAGGTAATTAAGGTACTTAAGACATGAGCTCTGCCAAAAGAACAATCTTCTTAACCAGACCATAGCCCCTCCAGGTATACAGAGACATGGAAAATACACTGGAGAAGATTGGCAGCTTGATTTTCTCAATGTCAAAGAGTAAGGGGCATAAGTACCTATTGGTCCGGGCAGATAATTTCACACACTGGGTTGACCCTCTCTTTGTACAACAGAAGAAGCAAGAGGAGGTACCATTACAATTGTAAAAGCAGAATGTTGTGTGTACTTTCCTGATCCTTCTGCTAGCATCTCATTGGCTATTCAAGATATTAAACGACAGGCTAATTCTCAGATTCTGAAATTCCCTGGACCTTCCTAGTCTCTTCATGGGAGGCCATTACTGGTTCCTCCTGGTGGAAACATTTGTTGGTTGAATCCACAGTAGTCTTGTTGATTTTATTATCACAACTATGACCTCCTTAACCTGAAGTAGCCAGAATGATCTTTGGCCCTTGCTCCATCACAGAAGTTAGGCATACCTCTTCAAGGGGGGAGGATTATAGACAGCTGAGTTAGGTACAGATATTATAGGCAGTTGGTCATAGCTAGGCCCTTGAGGCAGTCAGTACAGAATAGATCAAAACAGTGCCTGAGGGCTCATCTGAAGATTAAAGTCACTATGGCCAGACTGTGACAAATAAAAGCTTAAGGTTATTGGTACAGCCATGCTCTCTCAGCCACTGACTACTATGGCTATGATAACTAAATCTACTAAGAATAAGACTAAAGACAAAAACTATAATAGACAAAGGTTAATGAGGTCACCCACGTACACTTGCTAAATGACCTGCTTCTCCACTGGATCAATGTTACCTAAATGGCTATACTTGTAATCTTATGTTTGGTCACAGTTTTGACCCAGGTTTTATCCAAGACGTAGATTTTGTTCTGTAACTTCGAGAATTAGGTTTATTGACAACCCATTTGGGACACTTCCTATCTCTCAGGAAGTTTTTCTATTTCCCAATCCTTTCCCTCAATATATTTTCGACTCTTAATTTCTGTTCCTTAGAATTCATTCTTTGACTTGGGGGAATACAAACTTGACATACTGGATATCTGGCAGGTTTGTGGTTACATTTATTTCCCCTACATTATTCAAAGGACTTAGATCACTATAGTGTGACTCTGAGGAAATTAAGCAGTGTCTTTCTATAATGCTATCTTCCTAAGTTACACTGTGGAGATAGGGTAGATGTAAACATATATTTAAGTACCTCTACAATTTTTTAAAGCACTTTGGGCTAGGAAGCTAAGATGAAGTTACTTTCATATCCACTATTTTCCTTGCCTTTTCCCTCTTGTTGTGGCCTCCCTGCAAATGAAGGAAAGTAGGTCATCACCTTCTGCTTAATAACCCTTCATGTACTTGAAATTGCTGTTCTCCAGAAGGATCTCAAATGAGTTTTCAAAAAACTGCCTGAACTATCAAATTGCAATCTAGGGCTGTGAGTCAGCATTTTACCTAGACATAAAATCAAAAAGATTTAAAATAGGTAATATAACTTTTTTGAAAGACATATACATCTTCTGGGAGAAGCTTTGAGAAAATTGGACTTTGCAAGTTTATGAATAGTTTATTACATTTCAGTAAGTATATCATGATCAATAAAGCAAAAGTTAAGGACAATGAGCTCATTATGAAGTCAGTTATTGATTCTCAAGTTCCAAAACAGAATAGCACAGAAAGGGTATAGAGAAAAAAGGATGTGTGTGTGTGTGATGATAATTTTAAGTATCTTAAACACACTTAAAGGAATTATAAGATAGAAAGCTATTTTCAGCAGCTTTTCAAGATGTTTAATTAATTTTTCACTCTTTAAAATACTGTTGTCACAGGAGTTTGCAAAAACATACTATCTTTTACTGACTCATTTATTCTTGCAATTTTTTATATACACCTTCTCCTGATTTTAAAAAGCTTGTTAGCTGTCCTATCTTATGTCATTGTCTGGTTCAGCTCAAAGTGCCATAAAAAATATCACAGACTCAGTGGTTTAAACAGTAGAAATTTATTTTTCTTACCTCTGGAGGCTCAAAGTTTAAGATCAATGGCAAACATGGCCTGTTTCTGGGGAGACCCCTCCTGGCTTGTTGAGGGGCACCTTACTATCTTCTTCAATGGTAGAAGACAGCTACTGCTCTGTCTTCAGCACAAACCCCATCATGTGGGCCCCATCTTCACAAACTCATCTCAACTCTAATCACCTCCCAAAGACCTCACACACAAATACTGTCACACTTGGGGTAAGGACTTGCACATATGAATTTAAGGGAGGACAGAAATATTAATATACAACATGTAATAACAGAAAAACTGAAAATGACTCCAACTGATTAAAAACTGATTAAAAACAATCAATACAATTTAATCTTAAAAACTATTCCTGTAGAAAGTTTTCTTTAATATTATCTGATTCAATAGGAAAAGAACTTCCCCAAATGTTTTGTAAACATTAGTTCTATGAAATTTTTGAAAAACCAAAGGTGGAAAATGCATGGTTTTGGTAAAAGCTGAGAAAAAGAATACTTATCTATCTTTGTGGGCATGTTTAATAAAAACAACTATAAATAGGCTATGTCTTAGTCCCATATGAACTGAAGGTTTATTTTTTTTTATTTTTTTTTAACTTTTTAAAATAATCTTGTCAAGTGTGATTGTGCACTCCTCGGCAAGCCCAGGCAGGAGGAGTGGCATGAGTTTTAGGTCAGTCTGGGCTACATAGTGAATTCAAAACCAGCTTGACCTCCAGAGTGAGGCCCTGTTTTATACTATAGAAATGATCCCTAAAAGTATAGCCTTGAGGCCCTCTTTCAACATACCACCAAAAAACAATTTTAACTGACACATAATAATTGTACATGTTTATAGGGTACTGAAGATTTTTAAAATAATCTAAGCCATTTGGATATTCATGGGAAGTAATACAATGCACAATAACATTACCAAATTACATTTTCACAAAAATTGAAAGGAATAGTGTATCACATATTCTTTCATTTAAAATACAGAGAACTGGGCTGGAGCTGTACTCAGTATTCTACTACTTTACCTATGTGAAGCCCAGTGTTCAATCCTTAACACCTTAAACCAAACCAGAACAAACACTCCAAAGTAAAAAAAAAAAAAAAAACAACACTTCCCAATCTCTAAAAACATACCAAACAAAAAAAGCTAAAAAACAAAACAAAACAAACAAACAAACCCCACAAAACCTCAAAAACCAAACCCAACCAAAAACCTACCTAGGCCTGGTGGTGCATGCCTGTTATTCCGATATTCTAATAAGAGACTGAGGCAGATGAGATGCAAATTTGCAACTCAGCAAGACCCTGTCTCAACATAAAAAATAATAAAAAGGATGGAGATGTAACTCATTGCAAAGGTGCTAGGTTCAACAGCAACACAAAGCAACAAGAAAACCAGAAACCTGAAATAGTAAAACAAAATTGTTCATGTTATAATTTGTGCTGGATTTTACCACATTTTATTTTATTTTATTTTTATGAGCAAATAATGTTTTAATGAGAAAAAAATTCAAAACAAGATAATAGAAGGGTAATAATGGTTAATATATTGTATATTGTTATTTTTAAATTTCTCAGAGTACTCAGTGTACAAAATACCAGCATTTAATTGTCCAAATAGCACAAACTTTTCTTTCCAATGAACTAAGAGAAATTAGCAATATAATTATTTTAACTATCATATCTATATCTATTTTTTTGTTTTTCCCTTTTTAGTTTCTCCATTTCTGCATCCCAAGTTCTCTTTCTTTTTGTACTTAATTTTAAAACAACTATTTTTATTACACATGCATCCACTTGAGGGTATAACAAATTTGATTGTCTTGGTTGTACATATTTCATCATTTTGAAAACATGCTTAAGATTTCTTTAGTAACAATGAAATGAACAGACAACATTTTTCAAATTTTCAAGTGGAAAGTTGGAGGAAGCAGGACAAAAGATTGAGATCCAGAGCTTAGGGGATTTGGCAAAGTCACCTAGATAGCAATCTGCAGTCATTTTGGAGATCCAGGATGTTCCTGTCGAAAAATGCTGCAGACTGGGGGTGGAGCTATACTCCAGTGACACAGCCTTTGCCTAGTGCCTGCCAGGCCCTGGATTCAATCCCCACCGACACGAAGAAAAAAGCCTGAAAAAAGCCTGCCGCAGATCAGTATACTTAAAATGAAGGAGAAGGAAATCTAATTATAGTTCAGATCATTACTTATAGAAAACTGTTGTGTAAACTAATTTGTAACTTTTCAAAACTCAATTAAGTGAGTGTACGGTCCATTGGTATCCAGCTTTAATACCTGCCTGTTCCCGTAAGTGCCGTGTTCCACTACAACCCCAGCTCCAGCACACTTGGCATTAGCAGCTAATTCTTTTTCACACAGAGACACAAACTGTGAATAAAGTTCTAATCCTTCTTCTTTTCCAGAGTTAGAATGATACTGCATGTTTCTTCCTTTCACTCTGCCCCCAAGGGTGGCTTGAGGGATGATAAGAATGTCACCAGGTAGATCCACTATAGAGACGTGCTTGCCATTTTCTGTTTCACTTAATTTCACATTTAACAGTGTATTAACCATTTTGGGAAGAAGTTCTTTGTCAGCTCCCTTGAAGAAACATACATAGATCACTAATCCTCTCTGAATCTCCACCCACTGGGCCGCGGCGTCTCCCTCGGCTGGGCGAACTTGCAATCGCGCGTGCAGGCACTGCTGAAGGAGCGCCCGGGCCTGCGGAGCGCCGCTGTCGGCAGCCATTGCTGCAGCCCGCACCCCAGTTTTTATTTCTGTCTGTGCACTTCCAAGTCACAGATCTTTCCAATTAGGTCTCTAGGTTTAGGAAGTGCTCTTACTCTTATGTTCTTGTGTCCATATACTTCAGGCTGAGGCAACTGTCTTAGCGGAGGTATATCTCCCATTACATTAGTAGACAGGGAAAGCAAACAGACCTCTGGGAGTGAGTTAGGGTGGGTGGGTGGTGAATGGTCAAGGCATCCACTCACCTTAATGCTCTTTTAGATCCAGGCCCCACCAAAAACCACTCACAAACAACCTCTCTTCTCAATTTGGAACAAGGAACCTTGTCCTTTCCTGGACTGAGTTCAAAGTTCTCAGCGGGGTTGTATTTAACCCACACTCTTTCTGGAACTGTATCTTGTAGCTGTCTTCCACTTAGTTATGGTAGGATGACCACAGATAACCTGAAGTGTAGTTGCTCTTTGTTCCGCAGTTCAGTCTTAAGTGAATGGCCTTTTCTCAAAATTGGCTGATTATTTACTATCAAATATGGTAGATACTACACTGCATTTCTTCTCTACCTCTAGCTTGTCACATGGAAGGAGTTGCTTTTAGAACAAAATACTGTGCTGTTTTGCATTACAATAACTTTGGGCTTTTATGTTGTTTCTCCCTGGAGATGCTGACTCTAGCCTGGATTACCTTCTGTTAGCTGAGTCAGATCTCCCAATGAGACAGGATTAATATTCTGCTTCTTTCTTTCCACTGCTTAGTCCTAAATTTCTTCAGCCTCTCTGTAATTTGTAGGTTTTTTTTTTTTTTTTTTCCTTTATCAAGTTTTCCATTTCAGGTTCCAATGAGACTGTATTTTGCTGGCTTTCTTTATTCTGTCTTTTAAAATCTTTTTCATTATTTCTTTTATGGCAAATCAGCTAGCTTGAAATTCTCTTTTTTTAAAATAAGAGAATGTGTTACTTTCTCCTTTATATTTTAAACATAGTTTTGCTTTATATATAATTTTTAGTCTTTTTTTAACAGCACTTTGAGTATGTCATCTCACTTTTAAATTCGATGTGTGGATTATTTTTACTGGAAAGAATGGTAGTTATAACCGAACAAATAAAACTTCTTTTTCAGAACAAATAGAACAATAGTAACTTGTTTTTTAGTCTTCTATTAAAAGGTAGGACTATCTTTACCTGTTGAGATAAAAGTGACCTCTAAGCACAAAATGAATGTAAAGTCAACTTACTGTTTTATAAGTAAGTGATTATTAATGTGTTGAAATTTGTTGAATAAAGCTATGAACTTCTGTTTAAAGCTGTAATCAGTCCTATTATAGTATTAAAAACCATAATATTTTTAGTCTGTGCTGTGATTAAATACTTATTTGAATGTGTACAAGTATGAAAAACTCAGATTCTTCTGAAATCTTGTGTCTTATAATGTCAGGTAATAGCATATACATTTTAATGATTTTTATCTGAGGCAAGCAAAGGCTGGTTTCCATCAAAGATTATCTAGTAATCTGCAGTAACAGTGAAAATTAGATCTCTTGTTGCTAGTGACATAGTTTTGATGGATTTTTTTCCTCTTTTTTTTTTTTCTTTTGGCTTCTTTTTTGGAGCCCTAAATGCATAGAAGAACACAGTTCTTCAGAATCTGAGTGTCACGGGGCCTGGGAGATGGCTCAGTAGAATAAGTGCTTCCCTGGCAAAGGTCTGAGTTCAATTCCTGGTTCCGGAAAAAAAAAAAAAAAATCTGAGTGTCAGTTTCTTTAAGTACAGAGGATGAATAAGTTCTTCCAAGTCAGTCATTCAACAAAGACAGAACCATTTGCATGCCAATCATGCTAATGATGAGGTTTATTTTAGTGATCTACATGGACAGGGAAAAAGAAACAAAACTAAAAAGACAAAACTAGTTGTGGACTAGCTATACCTATGGAATAAACAGGCACAAAATGCAACAGTCATATAATACAAGCCAAAGGCAGTTATCTACGGTTGTTTTACCCTTTCACCTGCTAATGTTACCTGTAAGCAAGCATCATGGTGTATTCATGAACTGATTGTACTACTTCTGCAGAATTTTAGAAGTAAGCACATCTCTTTATTATATTTTCTAGCTATATGTGGCCTTTTAAAACTAAGTTAGCTAAAATTAAGCAAAATTAAGAAGTCATGGTCTCAGTCCAAATAGCAATATTTCAAAGATTCCGTTGCCGTATGTAACTGGTGGTTAATATATTTGACAGTACAGACATAGCATGCGTCATCATAAAAAGTTCCAGTAGATAGCACTGAGACTAATAATCAGGAAATTGCTTCTGCCACAGTAACCATTGAAGAACAGTTGCCATGGCCCTCTGCTATCCCAAGGGTCACAAAGTGACTAAGAATGCACATGAGCAAACTGAGGCATAGCTGCCATTGCAGACGCCTCACTGAACACCTCAAGTTCGTGTGGGGCATGATCTGGGAGGTGTGTGGCGTAGCCCCCTGCTGTTGGCGCGCCATGGAGCTGCTCAAGGTTTCCAAGGACAAATGCATCCTCAAATTCATCAAGAAAAGGGTGGGGACGCATATCTGCGCCAAGAGGAAGCATGAGGAGCTAAGCAGCGTGCTGGCTGCCATGAGGAAGGCAGCTGCCAATAAGGACTGAGCCCCTCTAGAATAAAGCTTTGCAGGGAAACAAACAAACAAACAAACAATAATAATAATCAGGAAATTGCAGTGTGGGTTAAGTGCTGTGATTAAAAAAAAAGTACAGGTTGCTATAGGTTAACAGAAAATAAGCCTTTAGAAATTAGGGACACTTTTTTTAAGGAGCATGTGTAGAAAGTTTTGAAGAATGAGTAAAAATCATAGAAACCTCAAACTGGGAAATATATTTCAGGAATAGCCTTCACAAAAGCCTGGAAATGAACAGAGACTAGTTTATTGGATATACTGAGAGTTAGGTTATGACGATGAGGTCAGAGATAACAGATTATGTAGAGCTTGGTGTAACATGTTTACAAGTTTAGTTTTGACAGGTAATCTATTTTGTTTCTCTCACTGACAGCTACATTTTGTTTTGGTCAGTCAAAAAACTATAAATAAGTGATAAGTTGGGCAAATGTCAAATTATTTTAACTTATCTGTATTCTTCCTAATGGTTGTGATACTGATAAAGTTGCTTTTCTGCTTTTTTTTTTTTTTTTTTTTTTGTTGAGACAGGATCTTGCTATGTAGTTCAGGCTAGCTTTGAACTTACTGTGTAACCCAGTCTGGCCTTGAATTCATGTTGATCTTCCCATGTAGGCCTCCCTAGTTCTAGGATTATAGGCACCACAACCAGCCCTCAAGTTAGCGTCTTTGAACTATAACACCAGTAACATTTTCTTGATGTTCAATTATGAAATGCCATTCAGTATTTTTATTCCAATTAGAAAATTTAAAGTGGCTTTTAAGAATAAATATCTATTTTAGCAGTGTGTGTACATGATGTGTGTGTGTGCATTTTCATTACTCTGCTGATTTTATTTTAGGGTGATGAAGAATCATTTGAAAATTATTACCGAAAACAAAGAAAGAAACAAGCAAGACTGGTTTTACAGCCCCAGTCAAGTATGGTAAATATATGAAAAATTTGAATTAATTATACTATTATTTTTTATCTGCTTATCTTACCTTAATTTCTTCAGAGCACATATCCCTGTTCATTCAGCTACATATATTTATTGAATACCTACCATTTCTAATAATTGATTTAGATGCCAAGGTTACAACAGGGGGCAAAACTTATTAGTCCTATTCTAATGACTGTTAGTAATTAGAATGAATTTACATTCTGTTAGGGAAGGTAGACAATGAATAAAAGAAAGGATGAATAAATATATAAAATGTCAAGAAGTCAACAGTTCCTAACAATATGGCATACTGTGTACCTCAATTAATTGTCTAACTGAAAAAAAAAAAAAAAAAAAGATGGTGGATAGACACTAGGAAATTCTTTCTTTGGAAGAAAAATCATTTCTTTTTAAATGTACTAAAGGGCTGGGGAGATAGCTCAGTTGTATAAGCATCTGCCTGGGAAGCACAGGGTCCTGAGTTTGATCCCTGGTACTGAAAAAAAAAATGTACTAAAGATCTAGAAGAAAAATATAATTAGACCAAAATGCAGATGAATAGAGGACTAATTTATTCTCTAGTTGTGGTAATTTATTCTGTTGTGGTGATGGTTATATAACTAAATATGTTGGTGCAGACCCAAATTACACATGAAAAAGTATATTTTATTATACATGTAATCTTAACCTCATTGCATCTGACTGTAAAACAGTTGAACAAAACATGTATACCTAAATGAGAGAAGAAACTCAGGGGGGTTTCATGTAGCTTTTTTCCTAGGAGCAACTAGTAAATGATAAAGTGTGAGTTTTGAGGATCTATGCTGTCAGTGGCTAAGTTAAGAGCCCATTCAAAGTAGATATCCAGTAAGATTGTCTGCCTTTTGAAGCTGAGATTCCAATAATTATAATGACTGAGAGATAAAACCATCTAAAATCTTTTTATTCTCTTGCAAATATTGTAAAGAAAATTAATCTCTACCAAGTCTTGATTTGAGTAAGTAGAAAAGCTTCTCTAAGGATTCATAACAAGCAGTTTGATGTTTGCAGCCTAAGTCTATTCTACTTGAATAACAACAAAATCACACTGCATAGGGCCTGCCGATCAGCTCAGTTGTTTAAGCACCTGCTTATGCAAACGTGGTCAGGTGCAGGATACTGGGGTTCATCCCCAGACACGCTCTTAAGGTAGCCTGAGACAGCCAAAATACAAGACAGAACAAAACAAAATAAAAGAACAAAATCATGATGAAAATTTGAAGTGATTCCATGCTAATAATTGCTGTCAAGTGGCCAGAAGAAACAAATGTTGTTCTCTATAGTTTTATCCCAGAATTAAAGGGTATTTGAGGGGGCCAGGGAGATAGCTCAATAGAATAAGTGCTTGCCTGGCAAGTGCAAGGGTCTGAGTTCAATCCCTAGTTCCACAAGAAAAATAAAAAAGTATTCAAGAAGTTACAAGGAAAATTAACAATTCACAGTCAAAAAGTAGTTACTGAACAAGTGGAAATCATTAAAAATACTGATATCATAACTGGATTGTAAAAGACTTGATATTTGCATTATTAGCCATTGAGTGTAAAATAATGTTAATATATTTAATAAAGTGAAAGACAAGCTTGTTATTATGAGGAACAGAAATTATAAAGAATAACCAAACAAATGTAAAGAAAAATCAAGTAGAATATTTGGAAATTAAGGAAAGATTAACTGAAGTTATTATGGATGAGGGGCTGGTGAGATGGCTCAGTGGTCTAAAGCACCTACTTAGAATAAGCTTAGCAAAGCCCAGGGACCACAGTTCAATCCCCCAGCACCACATGCCAGCCAGCCCGCCCCCTGGTGGG